GGGGCCCAACGGATCGCCATCCTCCGCCGCCTGGGGCGGGACCTCAGCGATTGGGAGAACGGGGGGCGGTATCGATGTCCCCCATGGCTCGTGCACCGCTGGGACCTCACGGACTAGGTCGCTGATCGTGGTGTCTAGATCTGGCTCCGCAAATGCCTCCCCAAGAGCTTCCAAGTAATCGTAGTCAATGGTCTCCTGTCCTGGGGATGACCTTCCGTCTGGGACGGGACAGTCGGCAGCGTTCAACAGCGACAAAACTTTGCTCGGGGACATTTCGTACGCGGCATACTCCATGTTAGCTTCGATGGAGTTGACATCGTCTTCGTCATCAAGCTGTTCGTCGCTGTCTTGACCGGGCTGCCCGTTCAAAGCGATCGGGACGGGGTGAGTCCCAGGCGGACGACCCCAACCGTCTGGGACGGCGGGGAGCGCACGGCTGGACTCCTCCACGACTCGCGGCCGACTGGCTGGGCCAGCGGCCGGCTCGATAGAATGCACGACAATCGGGCTGGAATGTACTGTTTCTGGGGGCCTCAGCAATCCAAGATGAGAAGGCTCCTCGCCTGGCGTTCACGGCTGGGCCGTTCCGCCTCGTCGGGTCCGGGGTCTGATCACGCTCTCTGATCTGAGCTCGAATGGGAGAATCATCGACTGACAAATCAATGACTTCTCCAACAACTCCTCCATGAGGATCCCGACTGAGGTTAGAAGAGGGAACAGAGCGGCCCTCCCCTGGGCCGCTGTCCTGTTGTTCGTGCCCGTCTCGATGCACATCTTGTAATATCGCGGGCAATTCGGCTGTCTCATCATAGCTCAATCCCATAGCGACTTGGTCGCGGGTTTCGGCTGATAAACTATATTTCCTCTGAGAATCGGGGTAAGATGTCAAAAGAATTAAGGTCTCGTGATCAATACGCTCAGTAGTAGAGGATTTGGGACGATGCATCGATGAAACAATATGTCATCCGTATAGCAAACGCAATCAAGTATGGTAAGGGAGGAGGCCGGCCAGAGGCGGACGACGACACGAGCCGCGCGCGAGCCCCTGGCGCGCTCCTTTTATCACTTGATCTGCAAACAGCTTCAATATAACAAGCAATGTCAATAATGTGCAGGTAGGGCGGCAGCAGAGGCGCAGAATGATGAGGCGGAGAGGAGCAAATTTACTGATTCTCAGAGAATGGCGATTTTGCCTGAGACATCCTCCCAAAATCGAGCCCCGACGTACCTTCTGGTACCCCAGACCCCGCCTCGGAGCCTCTTGGGAGCCTCCTGGAACCTCCTGGGACCTCCTGGGGCTTTCTGTACCTTCTGGTACCCCAGACCCCGCCTCGGAACCTCCTGGGGCCTCCTGCGGCCTCCTGGAGCCTCTTGGGGCCTCCTGGAGCCTCCTGGGGTCTTCTGGGGCCTCCTGGGGCCGCCTGGGGTTTCCTGGGGCCTCCTAGGGCCTCAGAACTACATGCACACACAGAGACACAAATCACACCCAACACATCACACGCTAGACAAACATAACACACACACACACACACACACAACACCTACAACACCTACAACGCACAGAAAACACGCACAACACAGAGCAAACATCACACACACACACACACAAACACACACACACACACACACAACACACTCACAACCCCGGGGCGTCCTGGAGCCTTTTCCGGTATCCAAGTCGGGCCTCCTGAGGTTTCCTGGGGGGGCCCTGGTACACACATCGCAAGGTGTGGCAACCACACTTGCGCTCGAGTGCGACCTCGATCTTAGATTCTTCTGCGTTCACAGCCTGCCTCTTCCCCTTCTCTTAGGCACGCCCTGGCGGCGCCGCCCCAGCTTCCCCTTCTCCATCTCAGATCCTGCAGTCACGGTGTCTTCCTGCTTCAAACGCCGTTTCAGTTTTGTTTGTATGAGCCTGGGCACACACGTGCCACTTGTCTATACATATATGTACATACATACATACATATCTACACGAATACTAATACTAATGGTAATAATAATACTGTTATGACGACAACAGAACAACGGGTTCCTCGGGCCCCGTTATTATGTGGTTATGCTGTTCTCCCCCTTTTCCCCCCTGGGCCCCCAGCGGCCGCCGTCATCAATAACAACAATTACAACAATACTGTTCGTTCATACGCGCTCGCGTGCCATGCAACACGTATATCCCAAACCCTCGATACCCGCGCTCTTCGTCTTCGATCGTACCCCCTTGGGGGTATATCTTTCCTACCTACAACCTGTATTTCACGCAGCCCCTACGGCAGGGGAAGAGAGGACGGATGGAAGGAAGGGACAAGGGGGAGGGAGGAGGATGGAGCAGGATATGGAGTAGCAGGAGGGGGGCCAAGAGCAGAAAACACGTGGCAAAAGCAGACGGACAGATCGGGCGGGTAGACCATAACGGGCGGAACGGGAAGGCGGGCCCAGGCGGCCAGGTCGAGCAGGCGGGTTGCTGAAGCGTGCGTCCTTCATGAATCGCGAGAAAATCTCGAGCGATTGCGCGATTCCCAGATAAATCGTTAGGAAATCCACAGCGAGAGCGTGATGGCGTGGCGTCTGAATAATGTGAGAGGACGTCCCACACGAGAGCGCGATTCCTGCATAAATTGTGAGGGAGTCCCCGCGAGAGCGCGATGTTTCAATACATTGCGAGGCAGTATCAGACGGGAACCGTTCTTGTTGTACCTTGGGGGCCAGGGGCCCAGTTTGGTGACCCCTTCACCTTCCCTTGTAAAAAACTGGGTGCGAGCCCCGGGAGGAGCGCTTTACTTGAAAAACACTATGTGCCCTGAAGGGGGGATCGGATCAACAACGATTACTTTTCAGCATTGAGAACTCAACAACAACAACAACAACAACAACAACAACAACAACAACAACAACAACAACAACAACAGCAATAACAACAATTACAACAAAAAACAACAACCGCCACAACAACAACAACAACAACAACAACAACAACAACAACAACAACAACAATCATATTAAGATTGGTCGCTCTTATCTGCTCGCGTGCCATGCCAAACGTATATCCGAAACCCTTGATACCCGCCCTCTTCGTCTTCGATCGTACCCCCTTAGGGGCTTACCTGAATTCTTGCATTTCACGCAGCCCATACGGCAGGGGAAGAGAGGACGGATGGAAGGAAGGGACACGAGGCAGGTGGGTTGCTTGCGTCATGCATGAATCCCGAGGAAATCTCGAGCGACAGCGCGATGCCCAAATAAAACGCCAGGAAATCCACAGCGAAAGCGAGATTTCTGAGTGTTGAGGGCGCGGCGTCTAGATAAATTGCGAGGAAGTCCCGCGCGAGAGCGCGATTCCTGTAATAATTGTGAGGAAGTCCCGCACGAGAGCGCGATTTTGGAATAAATTGGCAGGAAGTATCAAGCGGGGGCCATTGTAAACAGGAGCCCATCAACCCCGTTTGGTGATCCCTCATTTTCCCTTGAAAAAAAAGGTACGAGTCCAGGGACAAGCACTTAAATTAAAAGATTATCCTGGCGAAGTACCCAACCATGTGCAGCTGTGTGTAACGCAAGCAACCTCTGTGAACCTCTCTCTGGGGCCACGACGCGTGTGACGGGTGTGCCAGAATTGGCACGGGTACGCCATGCGGACGCTACCACGTGAGCCGTCGGTGCAGCCCCATGCGAGGCCACGAAACGTGTGAGGGGTGCGCCGAAATGCAAGGTGGAACCACGTGCGGGCGCTGCCACTAGGGCCTTTGGGGGCCAAGAAACAAACGTGGAAGGGGTGCGCCGAAATTAAGGGTGGAACTGCATGCAGAACCCGCCACTGGGGCCCTGGGTGGAACACTCTATGGGGTCACGAGAAACGTGCGAGGTATGCGCCGACATGGAGGTAGAACTGCATGCGGACCCTGCCACGGGGGCCTTCGGTGGAGCACCTTTGGGGCCAAGAAACGTGTGAGGGATGTGCCGGAATGAGGTGGAACTGCATGCGGACCATGCCACCGGGGCCTTGGGTGGAGCAGCCTATGGGGCCGCGGAACGTGCGAGGGGTGCGGCGAAACCGGGGTGGAACTGCATGCGGACCCTGCCACTGGGGCCTTCGGCGGAGCCCCCTATGGGGCCAAGAAACGTGTCAGGGGTGCGCCGACATGGGGGTGGAACTGCACGCGGACCCTGCCACTGCCCCCTATGGGCCACGAAGCGTGTGAGGGTGTGCCGAAGTGGGGGGTGGAACCGCATGCGGACCCTGCCGCGGGGGCCTTCGATAAAGCTACCTGTGGGTCCACGAAACGTGTGAAGGGTGTGCCAAAATGGGGACGGAACCGCATGCGGACCCTATCACTGGGGCCTTCGGTGGAGCTCCCTGTGGGGCCACGAAGGAGGAGGGAGGGAAAGAGGAAGGAAGGAGGGAGGGAAGGAGGGAACGCGGGGACCGCCTCTTCAAAACGAGGACCCAACACCACAGGATGGTTGGGAATGAATTGGAAAATGCGATTGAGAAAATATAAATGCCTATGTTTTAGAAATGCGAACTCATGATCAACAAAACAAGGACAGCATCACCACCACCACTACCACCACCACCACCATCATCATCATCATCATCATCAGCATCATCATCGGAATCAGAATCGGCATCATCAGCATCATCGTCCTCGTCGTCGTCATCTCCATCATCGTCGTCATCGTCATCGTAATCATCATCAGCAACATCATCGTCATCAGCACCATCATCAACATCCCCATCACCATCACCAGCATCATAAGCATCATCATCATGATCATGAACCTCATCACCGTCATCATCACCATCATCACCATCATCATCAACATGATCATCATCACCATCATCAACATTACCCTCAGTATCGTCATGATCATCATCACCTGCATGCTCCTCCTACTCGTCCCTCCTCGTCCTTACCCTCACCCTTCCCACTCTTTACCGCCCAGACTCCTTCATAATAATACCACCATACTCCTCCTCCTCGCCCAAAGCTAGCCAAATCGTCCAGCTGCTGCGCCGTCGTCAGGTCGATCTTCCGCTCGATCTGCTCCTGGTCCACCCGCGTTCGAGCGATCTCGTAAAGCTCGGCGGCCTTGTCGTGGTCTCGCTCCTCGGCGCAAGCAAGCGCAAGTGAGCCCTACCGCTGCAGGTCAGACCTCTGAGACACCTGCACGATCTCAGCCAAGAAAGACTGTTTCGCCCCATGCCCTGAAGCAGCTATGAAAATCGATTATGTGGTCGAAACAACTCGCCTAGAGTGGTGAAACAACCATAAGATTCCCTGACCGTGCCCTGAAGCATGAAGCACAAGATCTGAATGAGACACGATCTCTTGGCTTGACCTGACCACCTGCTGGAAGACATGGTTTGAATATGGATGCACATGGATGCGACTGTTGGTTCGAACCGTTGCCACAATCAAGAGCGTATTCATATGGATATGTCGGACCGGGGAAGATCATCCCACTCAGGTCGGACAACTCTGAAAATGAGACCAAATTCCCAGCTTGTGTGCAGAATGAATGGGGGCGCATGTGAAGAGAACGGCGCAATCAAGTTTAGAACGCCGTAGGTTCTGGCAAACCTCACGACTAGAATCTGAAACGTGAAATACGACGCTGCGACAAAAAAAGAAACAACAAAACGCAGCGGAAAATAACGACCAAATCCCTCGACCCCATGTGTTTGCTCCTTATGCTGTCGAGTCTGATCGATGTGGTCCCTGGACCTAAAAGCGGGTGAAAATGACCCGAATGGAACACCATGCAACACCTGGATCTCAAGGTAGCTGCATGAGTGTTGTGTGTTGTGTTGTGTGGTGTGTGTGTGTGTTGTGTGTTGTGGTTCATGAGTGCTGTGTGTCTTGTGTGTTGTGTGTATGGTGTGCGCTGTGTGTTGTGTGTTGTGTGCTGTGTGTTGTGTTGAGTGTTGTGTGCTGTGTGTTGTGTAATGTTTGTTGTGTGCTGTGTGTTGTGTGGTCTGTGTTGTGTGGTGTGTGTTGTGTGTGTTGTGTGTGTTGTTTAGTGTGCGTTTTGTGCTGCGTGCTTTGTGTTGTGTGGTGCGTTGTGCGTTGTGCGTTGTGTGTTGTGTGCGTGTTGTGTTGTGTGTTGTGTGATGCGTTTTGTGTTGTGTGTTGTGTGCTGTGTGCTGTGTGTTGTGTGGTGTGTGTGTTGTGTGTTGTGTAGTGTGCTGTGTAGTGTGTGCTGTGTGTTGTGTATTGTGTGTTGTGTGTTGCGTGGTGTGTGGTGTGTGGTGTGTGCTGTCTGCTGTGTGCTGTGTGTTGTGTGTTGTGTGTGCTGTGTGTTGTGTGGTGTGTGTGTTGTGTGTTGTGTGTTGTGCGTCGTGTGTTGTGTGTGGTGTGTCGTATGTCTTGTCGTGTGTCTTGCGTCGTGTGTCGTGTGCCGTGTGTGGTGTGTGGTGTGTCGTGTGTCGTGTGTCGTGTGACGTTTGACGTGTGTCGTGTATCGTGTGTCGTGTGTCGCGCGCCGTGTGTCGCAAGCCACAAGCCATGTGTCGTGTGTCTTGTGCTGTGTGTTGTGTGCTGTGTGCTGGATAATATGTGGTGTGTGGTGTGAGGTGTGTGTTGTGTGCTGTGTGACGTGTATTGTGCATTGTGTGTGTGGTGTGTGGTGTGTTGTGTGTTGTGTGTTGTGTGTTGTGTGTTGTGTGGTATGTGCTGTGTGTTGTGTGTTGTGTGGTGTGTTGTGTTGTGTGGTGTGTGGTGTGTGGTGTATGATGTGTGTTGTGTGATGTGTGATGTGTTGTGTGGTGCGTGGTGCGTGGTGCGTGGTGCGTGTTGTGTGTTGTGTGTTGTGCGTTGTATGTTGAGTGTTGTGTGTTGTGTGTTGTGTGTTGTGTGTTGTGTGTCTTGTGCGTTGTGTGTTGTGTGTTGTGTGCTGTGCGTTGTACGTTGTGCGTTGTGCGTTGTGTGGTGTTGTGTGTTATGTGGTGTGTGATGTGTGTTGTGTGTTGTGTGTTGTGTGGTGTGTTGTGCGTTGTGTGTTGTGTGTTGTGTGTTGTGTGCTGTGTGGTGTGTGCTGTGTGCTGTGTGTGGTGTGGTGCGTGGTGCGTGGTGTGTTGGTTGTGGGTTGTGTGGTGTGGGTTGTGTGGTGTGTGGTGTGTGATGTGTGGTGTGTGGTGTGTGGTGTGTGGTGCAAAGTGTGTGGTGTGTGTTGTGCGTTATGTGTTGTGTGTTGTGTGTTGTGTGTTGTGTGGTGTGTGGCGTGTGGTGTCTGTTGTGTTGTGTGTTGTATCGTGTGTTGTGTGTTGTGTGGTGTGTTGCGTGTTCTGAATTTAGTGTTGTGTGTTGTGAGTTGTGCGTTGTGCGTTGTGCGTTGTGCAGTGTGCGTCGTGCGTTGTGCTCTGTGCGTCGTGCGTTGTGCGTTGTGTGCTGTGTGTTGTGTGCTGTGTCTTGTGTGATGTGTGGTGTGTGGTGTGTTGTGCGTCGTGTGTTGTGTTGTGTGTTGTGTGTTGTGTGTTGTGCGTTGTGTGTTGTGAGCTGTGTGTTGTGTGTGGTGTGTTGTGTGGTGTGTGTGTTGTGTGTGTGTCGTGTGCTGTGTGTGTTGTGTGCTGTGTGTTGTATGTGTTGTGTGGTGTGTGTTGTGTGATGTGTGTTGTGTGTTGTGTGGTGTGTGTGTTGTGTGTTGTGTGTCGTGTGGTGTGTGTTGTGGGTTGTGTGTTGTGTGTTGCGTGCTGTGTGTTGTGTGCTGCGTGGTGTGTGTTGTGTGTTGTGTTGTGTGTGTTGTGTGTCGTGTGCTGTGTGTGTTGTGTGTTGTGTGTTGTGTGTGTTGTGTGGTGTGTGATGTGTGATGTGTGTTGTGTGTTGTGTGGTGTGTTGTGTGTTGTGTGTCGTGTGGTGTGTGTTGTGGGTTGTGTGTTGTGTGTTGCGTGCTGTGTGTTGTGTGCTGCGTGGTGTGTGTTGTGTGTTGTGTGGTGTGTGGTGTGAGTGTACTATGTCGTGTGTTGTGCGTTGTGTGTTGTGTGGTGTGTGGTGTGGTGTGTGGTGTGTGTGTCGTGTGTTGTGTGTTGTGTGTTGTGTGTTGTATGTTGTGTGATGTGTGTTGTGTGATGTGTGTTGTGTGGTGTGTGCTGTGTGGTGTGTGTCGTGTGCTGTGTGCTGTGTGTTGTGTTGTGCACTTTGTTGTGTGTTGTGTTGTGTGTTGTGTGTTGTGTGTTGTGTGTTGTGTGATGTGTGTTGTGTGGTGTGTGTTGTGCGTTATGCGTTGTGCGTTGTGTGTGTTGTGTGTTGTGCGTTGTGTGTTGTGTGCTGTGTGTCGCGTGCTGCGTGTGTGCGTGTGTGCGTGTGTGTTTGCGTGTTCGCTTTTCCTAGGCGCCCGCTGCCCTATACTGCACACGCGCCGAAAGCAAGCCGCGCTTTTTATCCGCGAGGCGGTTGGCCGCAGCGTTGACGGGCAACGCCGGGGTAGGGCGGGGAAGCATCCAGCTCCTCCTCCTCCTCCTCCTCCTCCTCCTCCTCCTCCTCCTCCTCCTCCTCCTCCTCCCCCTCCTCCTCCTCCTCCCCCCCTGACATCGGAAGAACATCGCCGACAAATCGGTGATCGGCCCCTGACTGCGAAGCCGCGCGCTCCCTGGCGGGAAACGGACACAGTGCAGGCTCGTCCACCAAAAACCTTCCACGAGAAGGAGGCTGGAAAAGGAGGAGGAGGAGGAGGAGGAGGCTGGAGGAGGAGGAGCAGGAGGAGGAGGAGGAGGAGAGGCTGGAGGAGTCCTCCTCCTCCTCCTCCTCCTCCTCCTCCTCCTCCTCCTCCAGCCTCCTCCTCCTCCTCCTCCCGACACCCCACGACGTCCATTGACTTTTGGTGTGGGAGCGTCGCGCTGTCCATGGCAGAACCATCGAAATTGATCCTGGCGAAGGTCCCAACCATATGCAGTTGTGGGTACCGTAATTGTGAATATCTGCTTCGGTGAAGCTCCATATGGGCCACGAAGCGCTGCACTGGGCGGGGGGGAACGCTGTACTGTGTGGGCGGTGTGCCGAATTGGGTTTCCGGGACGCATGCGGACGGTCCCACTGAGGGCTTCGGTGGAGCTCCCTATGGGGCCACTAAGCGCTCTACTGAGTGAGTGAAAATGCCAAATTGGGTTTCCGGGACGCATGCGGACGGTCCCATTGGGGGCTTCGGTGGAGCCCCCTAGGGGCCACGAAACGCTGCACTGCGCGGGTGAAAATGCCAAATTACATTTCCCGGACGCATACGGACGGTGGCACTGGGGCCTTGGGTGGAGCCCCCTATGGGGGGGGCCACGAAACGCTGCACAGGGTGGGTGAAAATGCCAAATTGGGCTTCCGGGACGCATGCGGACGGGGGCACTGGGGCCTTCGGTGGAGCTCCCTATGGGGCCACGAAGCGCTGTACTGGGCGCGCGGGACGCATGCGGACGGTAGCGCTGGGACCTTCGGTGGGGCTCTCTTTGGGGCCACGAAACGCTGTACTGGGTGTGTGAAACGCAGGGAGGAGGGGGAGGAGGGCCACAAAACGCTGTACTGGGTGTGCGGGACGCATGCGGACGGTAGCGCTGGGACCTTCGGTGGAGCTCCCTAGGGGGCCACGAAACGCTGTACTGGGTGTGCGGGACGCATGCGAAGTATGGGGCCACGAAACGCTGTAGTGGGTGTGCGGGACGTATGCGGACGGTAGCACTGGGACCTTCGGTGGGGCTCCCTATGGAGCCACGAAACGCTGTACTGGGTGGGTGAAACGCAGGGAGGAGGGGGAGGGGGGCCACGAAACGCTGTACTGGGTGTGCGGGACGCATGCGGACGGTGGAGGAGGAGGGGGAAGAGGAGAGAAGGAGAACGCGGGGACCGTCTCTTCGAAACGAGGACCCAACACCACAGGATGGTTGGGAAAAAACAAAAAATCCAGGGCACCCTGGAGGCAAGCAGGGTGGTTCTTGGCATGGGCCCCCACTGTAGGCCCCCAATTGCAAAGTCGCACGCTCCTTGGCGGGACACGGATATCGAGCCCCCATCGGCGATCAATTGGCGATGAGGGGTTGGTGCGTCCCCCCCTGAAGTTATCCCCACCCTGTCGTTGCCCACTGGTGTTCGGGCCAAAGCTCGTCTCACCCGCGGCCGTTGGGGACGATTTCCACACCCCTGGAACGCCCTCGACGAGGCGCATATCATGGAGACCACCCCTGGCCTCGAATACCCCTGGAGAGGGGGCCCCAGCGCCGATCCGAGAAATCCGCGCGGACCTCCGAGTTGTTATGTTTATGTCACCGTTCGTTCCCCTGTTTAAGATTATCCCGGCAAAGCAACCTAACAGCGATGTGTATAAGCATGTCTGGAAGCATTCCCCTTAAGATTCAGGTGAGAATCCAGTTGTAGAATTGAGCTCTTCTCGCAGTCGCAGTCGCATTCGCAATGACAGTCGCAGTGGCAACGGCCTTAGAATCCAATGGAATCCTAAGGATTCCTAGGGATTCCTGAGGCATCCTTAGGCATCCTTAGGAATCCTTAGGAATCCTTAGCCTCAGCCTCATCAGCCTCAGCCTCAGCCTCAGCCTCAGTCTCAGCCTGCCTCAGCCTCAGCCTCAGACTCAGCCTGCCTCAGCCTCAGCAACAGCCTCTCAGCCTCAGCCTCAGCCTGCCTCAGCCTCAGCCTCAGGCTGCCTCAGCCTCAGCCTCAGCCTGCCTCAGCCTCAGCCTGCATCAGCCTCAGCCTCAGCCTGCCTCAGCCGCAGCTTGCCTCAGCCTCAGCCACTGCCTCAGCCTCAGCCTCAGCCTGCCTCAGCTTCAGCCTCAGCCTCAGCCTGCCTCGGCTTGCCTCAGCCTCAGCCTCAGCCTGCCTCGCCCTCAGCCTCAGCCAGCCTCAGCCTCAGCCTGCCTCGGCCTCAGCTCAGCCTCAGCCTGCCTCAGCCTCAGTCCTCAGCCTGCCTCAGCCTCAGCCTGCCTCAGCCTCCTGAGCCTGCCTCGGCCTCAGCCTCAGCCTGCCTCAGCCTCAGCCTCAGCCTGTCTCAGCCTCAGCATGCCTCAGCATCAGCCTCAGCCTCAGGCTCAGCCTGCCTCGGTTTGCCTCGGCCTCAGCCTCAGCCTGCCTCGGTCTCAGCCTCAGCCTCAGCCTGCATCAGCCTCAGCCTCAGCCTGCCTCAGCCGCAGCTTGCCTCAGCCTCAGCCACTGCCTCAGCCTCAGCCTCAGCCTGCCTCAGCTTCAGCCTCAGCCTCAGCCTGCCTCGGCCTGCCTCAGCCTCAGCCTCAGCCTCAGCCTCGGCCTCAGCCTCAGCCTCAGCCTACCTCAGCCTCAGCGTCAGCCTCTCAGCCTCAGCCTCAGCCTCAGCCTCAGCCTGCCTCAGCCTCAGTCTCAGCCTGCCTCAGCCTCAGCCTGCCTCAGCCTCAACTTCAGCCTGCCTCGGCCTCAGCCTGCCTCGGCCTCAGCCTCAGCCTGCCTCAGCCTCAGCCTGCCTCAGCCTCAGGCTCAGCCTGCCTCGGCGTGCCTCAGCCTCAGCCTCAGCCTGCCTCGGCCTCAGCCTGCCTCGGCCTCAGCCTGCCTCAGCTCGGGCATTCAAAATATGGCACAGGACTGGTGTTCTGGGAACACGGAGATCACGAAGTGGCCCACAGTTGGCTCTGGGCAATCAAATTATTGTACAGGAATGGTGTTCTGGGAACACGAAGAACACGAAGTGGCCTACGGTTGGCTCCGGGCATTCAAAATGTGGCCTGGGAATGGTGTCCTGGGAACACGAAGAACACGAAGTGGCCTACAGTTGGCTCCGGGCATTCAAAATGTGGCCTGGGAATGGTGTTCTGGAAACACGAAGAACACGAAGTGGCCTATAGTTGGCTCCAGGCATTCAAAATGTGGCCTGGGAATGGCGTTCTCGGAACACGAAGAACACGAAATGGCCTACAGTTGGCTCCGGGCATTCAAAATGTGGCCTGGGAATGGTGTTCTGGGAATGGATTCCCAAGGATTCCTAAGAATTCCTACAGATTCCTAAGGATTCCTGGGGCTGCCGGATCTGTCCGGATCTGTCCGGATCCCGCCCAGACCCCCCTGGGGCGTCAAGCTGCTCTCTTTTGACCCCACTAGAAATCTATCAGCAAAACTGGGTAGTCGAAGCCAATCTGGCGCCAGTCTGGCAGGCCCAATCTGGCAAACGGGGGCAATCTGGCGAGGGAGACCACGCGAATCCAGTCTGGCGAAGAACCCAAATCCTCCAGTTTGGCCGGGTCAGATTGGCCCTTGGGGCCCAATCCAATCTGACAGTCTGGCCTTCGACTACCCAGCAAAAGCTGTTAGGTAAAAATGCCCAAAACTCCCCCACACCCCCACAGATTGGCGGTTGGGGGTCGGTGCGCTCCACCACGACAGCTGGCGGCTCGGATCCGGCTGGGCGAGATGCTTCACCACGACCGCCACCTACGTCACCAGGCGACGTATGTGCAGGCATAGATGGTCATGATGAAAAGGAAGATGATGATGATGATGATGATGATGATGATGATGATGATGATGATGATGATGATGATGATGATGATGATGATGATGATGATGATGATGATGATGATGATGATGATGATGATGATGATGATGATGATGATGATGATGATGATGATGATGATGATGATGATGATGATGATGATGATGATGATGATGATGATGATGATGATGATGATGATGATGATGATGATGATGATGATGATGATGATGATGATGATGATGATGATGATGATGATGATGATGACGACGATGATGATGATGATGATGACGATGATGATGATGCTGATGATGATGATGACGATGATGATGATGACGATGATTGTGCTGATGATGATGATGATGACGATGATGATGATGACGATGATGGTGATGAAAACAATGATGATGCTGATGATGATGAGGATGTTGATGATGATGATGACGATGGTGATGATGATGATAATGGTGACAAATGATGATATAGTAATAATGATATTAATGACGCTGGTAATGATAATGATAATGACGATGATGATGATGATGTTGATGATGATGACGATGATGATGATGATGACGATGCTGATGATGACGATGATGATGACGATGATGATGGTGATGATGATGACGATGATGATGATGATGGTGGCGATGATGATGACGATGATGATGATCATGACGATGATGATGACGACGATGATGACGGTGATGATGATGACGATGATGATGATGATGACGATGATGATGATGATCATGATGGTAATGATGATGATGATGACGATGATGATGACGAGGATGATGATAGTGATGATGATGATGACGATTGTCCGTAGAATCGCGTAGCATCTTCGTTCAAATCCTCTTTGTCGGCCACGGTCTGGGTATTTTGCTCGCAATCGGGTTTGGAGGATAGGGTGCTGTGCAAAAAGATCAAGTGATCGTGTCGTACCAACGTGTAGATGTCCCTAGCCAGCGACGACAGCACCGCCCCCGCCCCGCCCTCTTGATACTTCCAACCGCGATCGGTGAGGAGGGTAATGGAGAGGAGGCTAAAGGTAGCAGTAGCACACAACAAAACACACCATCACATATCACATACGCCTGATCGGTGACGATCGTCTCGCCGCTTGCTGATTCCATCAAGACGGGTTGTGACAGCGGGCGCACAGGATGTGCCCCTCGGCGCCGGAATCGGCAATCATGCATAGCTGGCCCTGCCCAGCGGCATTGGCGACAAGAGTGAGACCAGGGATGGGAAAACGTGTTGCTTGTCCTGACAGCCGCTGCATGAGCTCTTTGGTAAGTTTTTACTCGGCCTTCTGCTGGCCCATAGCCGCGAGATCCTTGAACATAACCTCGTGGTTTAGTCCTGCTGTGGGGATATGCTGCGTGGCTTCTCCCGAAAAACTGCCTGCCTCCTGGCCGCCCATGTTCGGAATGGCCGACCACTGTGGCGCGAGCGCGCCGCCACCGACGCGCGCCATCTCCCTCCCGTCGTACCTCGGCGGGGCCAGATACCCAGCAGCAGCCGGGGTGGCGCCGCCGAAGCTGCTCGAGCCGCCGCCAAAGCCCCATCCTGCTTGTGAAAGGCCAAGATGGCCCCACGTGCCCAGCAGCAGCGGGGTCGGCGCCGCGGAAGCTGCCGGAGCCGCCGCCCGAGCCTTGTCCTTGTCAGCAACCAGGAGGCGCCGGGTACCCAGCCGCAGCCTGGGGGGTGCCGCCGGAGCAGCCCGAGCCGCGGCCTGGGCCGCACTTGCCTTTGAATCCCGTTTCGCAGGAACTGGCGTCGCCTTTTTTGTTCCTCTCCCGGGGCATTGTTTTGCCCAGCGACCGAACTGGAAACACAAAGTGCAAGCGACGCGGGGCACAGCTCTTGCGCCCGCTTGCGTCCAGGAAGGATTCCAATTTGCTGGTCAGGTCGCGCTGTCGTGGGAATGACATGACATGTCAAGAAGAACCTTGAGCAAACCTCCAATGGCAT